CTGGCATGGCTGGGCCAGTATTGGGTGACCCTGTCCTTCTTCCCTGGGGCCTGGGCACTGGCTAGCCACCACTGGCAGGTCCCCTGGCTGTCTGGAGCTGTTCATGCCCCAGTCCTGTGCTGCCTTGCCAGCCTCTGCAACCATGTCTTCCCTTGCTTTTTGATTTGAGGTCCCCTGCCAAATCCCCACAGCTCCTCATCCCCATCCTTGCCACCCTCTCCAGACCCATCTAGCTTTAGTCTTTTGCCAGCTACTCCCTGGGCAGCCTCCTCCATCCCTGCTCCAGGCCTTGGTCTCTTTGTCCCTCATTCTATTTGGCACCCCAGTGTGTCCTGCAGCGCCTGGACCAGAGTAGCAGTGAGCTGGGGGAAGGGCTCTGTGGGCAGGGGAATGGAAGTGGCTGCAAGCAGCCAGGTGGGAGGGTGTGGCTGCCCATGAGGCAGCCGCCCCCAGTCACGACCTTGGGCAAAGGCAGGGGCTGACACTTTAGGCTCTGGCAGTAACTGGCTGCAGCTTTTATTTTATCACCTTGGGGCTGGGCAAGTTGGTGGCAGGCCCTCAGCAGCCCTGCCTTATTCTCCAGAATGGGCTCTACTGCCTGCACCACTCCCTTAGGTGGCTCAGTGGCGGTGCCCAGCCGCTGTGCACGTTGGCTGTCACTTTTGCTCTGGCCGCTGCATATTTTGTTTCTGTCTGGATTCCATGTACCAGCGCTGGCTCAGGACAGGTGCCTGGCCCTGCATCTCTCACACAGGTCTTGACGATGGGAGTGTTTGGGGTCTAAGTAGCAAAGTCTTACTGAGCAAGAACACCTAGTTCTTTTACAACTTTGACAGGTGGTATCCTCTACTTGGTAAGTGCTGTAACATTTCTGATACGTCCTGCAAAACTGTTTAAAGTAAACCTTGTTCGTACCCTTAACACACCATACATAGGAACTCTCCCAGCAAATGCTGCAATCTTTGCAGTGATAATAGCCATATTTTTGCCAGAAGCACAGGTGCTTCTTGCCCAGCTCTACACCTGGCGGTGACCTCTCCTACACAGTGGTGGTTGCATCCCCACTGTCCCCAGTCCTCCCTGCTGCCAGTGGCCGCTTTGGCATCTGCAACGTGGGCTGTGGGGCCATCTCACTAGTTTGAGCCTCCTGCTGCTCCTGCCTGGCCTTTGGTGGTAGGGAAGCCTTCCTGACTGCCCCCTTGACCTCCTCCGGTGCCACAGGACCCTGCGTGCTTGCTGGGGCCTCCTCCAGGCAGCCGGTAAGGCAGTGGGAGCACAGGAAGTATGTGGAGCCGACTGGGGTTCTGGAGTCCCGGGCCCTGCACAGCGGCATCTGCCACCTGAGCGTGCACTGAACTGAAGCATCACGCTGCAGTTTCACCTGCACCCCCACACTGCAGCAGCTGGGCCTTCTGGGGCACAGATCAAAACCTGGGCTCAAGTGCAACAGGTGTGTGGCAGAGGAGAACAAGGCAGGAGGGTGTCCCCCGCCACAAAGCCACCAGCCATTGGTGTCCAGCAGGTATGGAAAGGGATACGAGTAGGGGGCCCACGCTGGGTAGCTGAATGTACTCATCCCCCACTGCAGCCATCTGGGTGGCCCCCATTATTTGATGGGGCAGAAACAAGTTCCAATGGGTGTTTCTCGGGAAGGGCCGACCTTTTCCAACAGTTCTAGATCTACACTGATTATTCCAGTGATACCCTCGTTGACACTTAGTACAAGGACTGCCAGGTTTAGTTGAAGAGACAAATAATGTCTGTGCTGCTCTTATAGGTGTAGCAGAGCAATTCTGGGCAAAATGTCCCTTATTGCCACAATGAAAACAAATAGCTTTGTATTTTCCTTTTCCTCCAGCCTCTGGATGAACAACTTGATTAACAACTGCTGCCAGAGCAGCCCCCAGTACATATGAGAAGCTAATATCTGCACAGATCCGAATCATCTCTGGCAACATCACCCATTTTTTGTGGGCTCTTAATGCCTCTTTACACCATCTATTTGCATTTTCAAAGACCAGTTGTTGAACTATTAATTTGCTAGCTTCTGTATTACCTATGATCCTCTCACTAGCTTACATTAAGCGTGTGGCAAAATCTTGAAAAGGCTCATCTGGTCAGCTTCTGGGTCACTTGGGTCTCAGTCACTAACCACTCAGCCCGTGTCGCCCTCCTGGCCCTGCCTCCTGTGATCCCACTGCCTTGATAAATAGAAGCCAAATTAAGGGCTGTCTTACCCTTGGAAGGAAGTTCCCTCCAGGCCCTCATGGCAGCCATCTTGGTTTGCTCATATGCTGGCAGTTCAAAAGTCAGTTGATTATTGGTGATAGCAAAGGCACCTTCCCCAACTAACACATCCTTTGTAATGGGTATATTATGAACAGCATTATGAATTGCCTGGTTTGTGCAATATTCAAAAAAGTTTCCTTTCCACAGTAAGTAATCACCTGGATTCAAACATGCTTTGCCTATTGCCTTCCAATCATTTGGGGCCATAAGCTGCTGTCCTAGAATCTCTACTGAACTCAAAGTAAAGGGAACAGTGGGGCTCTAGTAGCAACAGCTTCTTCTAACTCTTTCAGGGTTTTAAAAGGTATGGCTTCATAATGACGTATAACTTGTCCTGAATTTTCAGGGACTTGAACTTCAGTTACAGGGTAGATGTGCTGAAAACCCTCCATGGTCTCCCTTGCCCCTCTAGCTTCTTTTAATGCTAATTGCAAGAGAGACAGGGAAAATGGCTATACTCCCTGAGAGGCTCAAGGCACCTGTGCTGCTGCCATATTTCCCCTAGCTGAAGAGGCTGGAGTAGCTGCCTGTGGCTCAGTCAAATTAACCAAGCATTGTGAAACAGTATTTGCAAGGAAACACCCCTCTGGTGGGGAAAACTCTCTCGTCCCCCACCATTCCTTTCTTCTTAACTTGAACCAGGCTAGAGGGTTCAGCCTCTATAAGCAGAGCTGTTCCACTCTCCATGTCCCGCTTAGGCTCAGGACTTGATTTTAACATAATGTTCTGAGCCAAATACCTTCATGGTTACAAAACCCCTCCAAAACCAACATCCAGAAAATTAAATACAGGAGTCAAACACGCAACAAACACTTCTACAGACACATACCCCCAGGAGTCTTGAGACTCTACCTGCACTTCAATATCCCTTTCTCCATGGCTTCTTTGAAGCCTGTATATATTCTGGCCCTAAAAAACACATATTCCCGTGTTTTACACCTGATATGCCGGTACCATGCACTCCAGCGCTGAACACTAGCTCTCACAAATGTGCTTCCTCCCTTCTGTCATGCACTTTTGGAAGCATTCTCACCACCCTCTTATTCCCATGGGGGCCCCACTCTGGGCACCAATTGTACGGCTCCGTTAGGTTCTTGCCATACCCCGGGAAGGAACAGCAATGAGAATGAGTAAAAAATAGACAAGACACAAAATGCTGGGATCAGGTGGAGAGCCTCTCTCCTGAGCAGAGAAGAGGAACCTACCCAAGAACAGTACAGCATTTATTTATACCCTCCAGAGGTTGGTTAATTTCCACCTCGTTGCCCAGCAATCAGTTAACAAGCTACAAAGGCTTGTTTACATACTTTGAGGAGCTCCTGTGTCTCAGAGCTCCCATGTTCTCCTAACTCCCCTTGTCCTGCACGTGTAATTACTTTCCAGCTTCAGCTGCTCCCAACACTTACTGTTTTAGTTCAGAAAATAACAATGATTTAAAAATTTAATATACAGTTAACCATATTTACTGTTCTACATTAGGCACTGTACAAAGTGCTTTCCTTACACTATCTTGTTTAATCTTCACAATAATTCTATGCAGAACTATTCTATTTTATGGATGAGGAAACTGAGGTAGAGAGTGATTAACTAACTTGCCTAAAGTTATAAAGCTAGATCTAACCCAAGCTTTCTAACCTTAGACTCTGGATGTAACACCACTGTGATCAGAGGAAGACTCAAGACTCATTTATAAGGTAAAATTCAGCTATGCTTTGGAAAAAAAATTTTTTTTCTGTTCTTTTTGTGGAAGGTAAAGTGAAAAAAAGTATCTCACTTGGATGACTGACAATTAAGAGAGTCCAAACTACAAAAGTCCTTAAGGATCACCCAGCCATTACCCAGACAATGGCAAAATGTCTTCTCTATTATCCCTAGCAAATACTTGTCCTGCCGATACTTGACAGGACAACAAAGATCTGAATTGCCTTCCAACACTAAGTTTCTACAGAATTTTTTTTTAAATGTAGAGAGTTGAAAAAGTCTTTTGAGGGCCAAGGCTATAGCTTAGCAACAGCACCTGCCTGGCAAGCTCAAGGTCCTGAGTTCGATTCCTGGAACCAAAACAAAAAAAGAAAAAGCCCTGAAAAGGTCTTTCGGTACTTTATCCACTAACTTTCACACAGGTGGTTATTTTTTTTGGAGGGGGATTCTTTTTGAGAAAGGGTTTCACTATGCAGTTCAGGATGGCCTTGAACTCACTTTGTAGCCCAGGCTGGCCTCCAACTTGCAGAGAGGCATACGCCACCACACCAGCTTGATTTTCACACTGTTATATGCAGAATTCTAGAACTCTTCAAGGTGTTGAAGAGGTGTATTCTAGGCTGGGCTTCTGCCTCCACTCTCCTGCTACAACCACACAGCATCAATTTCATAATACTCCTCTTATGCTTAAAGTAGTATGCTTTGAAAAGGTTTCACAATCACTAGTCCAGATCAATTGCCCTATACTATGAATGCCAAAGGAATCTGAGGTTCAGCAACTGTGGACTGGTCAAAGTGACATGGTCAAAATCACAAAGACAAGCAGTCAAACAGCAAAACAATCCTTCACATATTGAGAACCACGCCATTCCTTTCTGCCCCCTTTTGTTTTAACTCCCATTCCTCCTTCTCTAAAACTTATAACAAAATTTCTGATCAAAGCTGACTTAGCAGTAAAAGGAAGCATTCTGCACCCTGGAACAAGGGCCCCAGGAGCACTGGAAACTCACGCATTTCTATGAATAGCTGCCTCTTCTCTGCCATGGTCTTCCACTTGTTTCCACCTTCTTCAATCATCCTAGAGACAATAAAAGACATGGTAAACCACTGTACAATTTATAATTCAACCAAGCTGCTTATTATTCTGCTGGAAAGAAGTACAGGAAGCCAGGCTAACTGTACATTTTAAAAGAGTAAAAATACAGTGAGAGCCTGATATAGATAAAGACCAGCCACTGTCCCTGTATTTGGTAGCTTTTAAAATATTGTTCAGCTTCTTCTTTATTAGTATAAGTTTGTAATACATAATAATTATATTCATCTTGGGAAATTGGTACATACACATATCACATCTTAATCATTTTTACTTCCTCTTCCTTTTTCTGCCCTCCCATCTTCTTTTATTTCCAGATTCACTTCCCATCTCTACAAAGTCTACAGCCAATACATAAATGACCTTGTACATTTGCTTCCTGTGGTAAAAATGTGGTGCTATGTCTTATTTCTAATTTAATTATTTTTTCTGCAGGATCCTGGATTAGATGAGACACAATTTCACATATCATCACTGTTTTGCATAAACATATTACTGAATATAATTTAGGAAATAATATAAAGAAAAGCTATAACAGAGTACATAAGTGCATAACACTGCACTTAAACAGAAATGACATAGGTAAGCTGTGTGTGTGTGTGTGTGTGTGTGTGTGTGTGTGTGTGTGTGTTTGAGACAAGGTCTAAGTAGCCCAGGCTGACCTTAAACTTTCAATACTCCTGCCTCAGACTCTTGAGTGCTGGGATTACAGATATGCACCACCACCATGAAAACAGAAGAAAACAGATCTTCTGTTTTCATATCAAACATCCCCAAATCCTAAGAACTCCTAAATGCACCTTTTCTATCACATAGTATAGTTGTTTATGTCGACAAACTTAGGCCATGCCAAGCACTTTGCTACAACTGTACAGGCAATGAGCTGACTGTGATGGGAAATACTACCAGCTCTTCAGAAGGCTGAGAGAGGAAGAGGGCTTGAGCCCAAGAGCTCAAGACCAATTTGGGCAGCACAGAAAGACACTACCTCAAAAACAAAAAGACAGAAAACCTCTGCATACATTCATGTATTATCTCATTTAATCCTCATGCAAAAACTACATGCTATTATCATTACTATTATCATCTCTTTTTCATAGATTAGGAAACAGATACCTAGAAAAGAAAACTGTATTAACTTGCTAAAGAGCATGCAATTCACAAGTGGCAGAGTAGAATCCCAATACTTTCATTAAACTTCTTACATAATTGTGTACAAATGCATATTTTCACTCTATTTGTAAAAGGCTAGAACACAATAGTCCATTACATGGATGCTACTGATGTAAAATTCATGACTTTTTTTTTTTGTTTTTTTGAGATAGGGTCTCACTATGTAGTGCAGGCTGGCCTTCAACTCACAGCGATCCTCCTGCCTCAGCCTCCTGAGTGCTGGATTACATGCATATGCCATTATGACCTCATGACATTTTTTGCTGAAAAAAAATTTTTGAGCCAGGCATGGTGGTACATGCCTATAATCCCAGCACTCAGGACGCTGAGGCAGGAGAATCGAGTTCAAGGCCGGCTTGCACTACATTTTTGTCTCAAAAAAATTTTTTTGAGACAGGGTCATGCTATGTAATTCAAGCTGGCCTTGAACTTGCAATGATTCTCCTACCTCAGCCACTCAAGTGCTGAGATTACAAGTGTGGGGCATCATGCCCAGCTGAAATTTTTTTAAGTGGTACTGGGTATTAAACTCAGGTCCCTGCACATGCCAGGCAAGCACTCTACCACTGAGCTACATTCCTAGCTCCTCAGCTGAAATTTGTCTTTCTCTGAGAAGAAAAAATATCTAGACAATTAGCATAATTTTCCCCAGTACATTAAACTGCTATAAATTATTCTCAAATATGATTATTGTAGATTAAACTATTATAAACCATCCTTAAATATGTTGTAATCACAAATTAAATGGCAAGTATATGAATGTCACATCCATTAAGGGAAAATGCCATATTATAAAAAGTTTAGTTAGAATATTTCTCAACATTCCACAATTAATATTTTAATCATTAAAACTGGCCCTTTCTTTCAAGCTGAGGCTATAGCTCTATAGAAGAATGCATGCCTAATATATATAAGCCCCTATGTTCAATCTCGAAAGCCAAAAAAAAACCGGGCCTTTCCCAGATCACTGAAATGTTACCAGTTGGCTTCAACACGTGTGACATAATGAATAATATACTCCAAGTCAAAAGAATTCTACACAGATGGGGGTGCAATCCCAGCACTCTGGAGGCTGAGGCAGGAGGATCACCTTGAGTTTGAGACCAGCCTGGGCCCATAGTGAGTTCAAGGTCAGTATGAACTACATAGTGAGACCCTGTCTCAAAAAAAAAAAAAAATAAGAGGCTGGGAATTTAGCTCAGCCGCACAGCACCTGCCTGGCAAGTACAAGGTCATGAGTTTGATTCCCGGTACCAGAAAAAAACCAAAAAAAAAAAAATAATAATAATAATAATAGTAATAATTCTAAGCAGAAAGTAAGCCAAAGAAAAAGTACTCAAAATCAGCAAAAATCTAATAAAATCTAGTTTCTAGAGATTAAAAAAAACAAAGAATGGTTCCAGTAGCATATAATTATAAAGGAAAAACAATACTGAAAAGCTTGCTCATCTGTCCCCAGTCTTGGTCTTCCACTAGGTAATACAAATTTAAATGAAAGGACAGAATGAAACTGAATACCATAATACCTTTTATAATACATCTCATTTATTATATCCTTTTCTACTTCTATTATTCCTTTATATCACATATTCTCAAAGTAAGGACAAGAATTCCTGGAGATTGCTACATTCTTCATGATAATTTTCTAAATTTTGTTTTCATTTCCAGATTAATCTTGAGAAACAATACAGATTAAACTATAATCTGCCTCACTGGCTCACCATACTACAAGCACTGCCATGCAATTTCAGGTCCCACATATGTGTCATCACTACTGGCACTGGTGGCAAGAGATCACCTAAAATAGGGGCTAGCAAACTATACAAGCTACACTAGCTTGGACATAACTAACTTGCCATCTATTTTTGCAAATAAAGTTTTATTGGAACACAGCCACGTGAATCCATTTCTTAACTGTCTAAGGCTGCTTTCACACTACAATGGCAGAATGGAATAAATGCCACAGAAAGCATCTGGCCTGCAAGTCTAAAATATTTACAATCTAGCCCTTTAAGAAAGTTTGCAAAGCTGACCCACAGCAATAATTAATATTGAATTAATAACATGTCTGCCTTACTGCACACATCTGGCTACAATAAGGTTAGTATATCCTCACCGTCAAAATGACAACAATCATCCCACATGTATTTGGATTTCAATTCCATTACTAGAAGTCTATCCTTGGAGTAGTGCTTCAATCACTCTAAGATTCATTCTTCATTGCTACAATGGCAGAATGATATAAACTTGACACTAATCACTCACTTGACACTTACTGAACAGCTCTTTAACAGGCATGTGGAAAAAAAAAAAAGGCATGCGAATAAACACCCTCACCTGCCCATAGTTTACATTCTTGTGAGAGAACTGAATGTAATAATTCACTCAGTACCTACTATGACTACTACTGCAGGTAGTTGATAAATCTAGTAAGGGAGAAGCTCATTTGTAAATAATGACAGATGCTATTTCATTATTTTCTTTTAGCATTTGACTTTCTGAAAATAACTACAAACTACACACTTTAGAAACTTAATTATCTAAATGGCAAAATTATAGTATCTTAAAGTCACACAATTATTACAAACGAATCAAACAAGACATAAAAATATACACCAAAGATATCTGAGATACCAAATGAAATGGTCCTACCCCACTGATAAACCTATAATGAACAAAAAGACATGTAAAACTCTTTTACAAGCTAGTGGTATAGGTCAGTGGCGGAGCATGTACTTACTATGTATGAGGCCCATAGTAAGCACAGGTTCAGGTTCAATTTCCGCGTCCCCCCCAAAAAAATTGCTAAATAAACTTGGCATTAATTTTGTTACTGTTCTTAAAATTACCACATTTAAAAATACAATGCAGGGACTGGGGATATCGCTCAGCAGCACAGTGCCTGCCTGGCAAGTGCAAGGTCCTGAGTTTGATTCCAGTACCAAAAAAATACAGTTCAACTACGTAAGTTTATGTTCTCAGCTGAGGGGGTGGGGAGGATGATGGGAGGGAGACACAATACAGTACCAAGAAGGCAATTACATACAGATCACAGGAAGAAAGTCAACCCTTAGCACCTTGCTCAGGCTCCCTCTGGTCTGGCCTTTGAAAGGATAAACACCTTGAGACTTTGTAAGGGTATATATTTTCTTTCTTCAAACGAGGTTATACAGCCCAGCATGGTGGCGCACACCTTGTAAACCCAGCATTCTGGGTGGCTGAGGTAGAAGGATTAAAAGTTCAACCCAGGCTGGGCAACTTACCAACTTAGCAAGACCCTGTGTCGAAACAGAAAATGTAAAAAGGGCTGGCGATGTACTCAATGTGACAGTCCTGGGTTCAACTAACAAAAAGTAATCATTTCCAATATGAAGAAAAGAACTTGTCACGCTGAGCTTCCTGAAAGAACTGTATGCTGTTTTCCACCATAGTATCTCTGTTCGAAAGTTTTTATGTATTTCAGATTTTCCCCTTACTGACTTCAGAAACTTAACACCCAAGTACGGTTTGACTTCACTGTGTGAAAAATAATTTAAGTCAGGCATGGAGGCATACACCTGTAATCCCAGCACTCAGGAGGTTGAGGCAGAAGGATCACTGCAAGTTTGAGGAAACCCAGGCTCAAAAAGACAATACATCTAATGTTTCTATTGTTTTAGAAAATTATATTCATGTAGCACTGTTCTGTAAAGTTTCTAAAATTGTTGATAGTATTTAAAAATTCTCAAAATTTGCAGCTATAGCATAAGGCTACAATTAGTTGTTTCAAAAACAATCATGAAGCTGGTTCAAGCTAGTCCAAGCACTCAGGA